AAAACAAAGTTTATTTCTAATAGTATAACACTAAAAGTAATTTCTTTTATGTTTTTTCTTCTTATTTTATATTTTAAATATATATTAGACATTATTAATGCTTATATAAAGATCAAATTTTGTATAACAAGATTTTTGTAAATGATAAATTCTTCTCTTAAATTAAATCGTATAATATAAATGAAAAGTTCGAAAACTTATTTAAAAGAATAAATTATTTGAATGATTTTATATGAAATAGATAAATATTCTAATAAAAGAATGAGTAGTTCGACAAGTATTGACATCTAGGAAAGAATGTATTCGTATGGAATTTTATTCTATTTGTGTTAATCCAATGGAGATAGATAATCATGAGTCAAATAATGAAAAAAAAGAAAATGTATAAGATTTATTTTTGTTATTTCTTTGATGACAAAAAATAGGTGACATATTATTTTTAACGATTTGAGTCCTGGCGACGCCCTTAAGGCGTCACCTCATAGAAAGAAAAAGTGAGGAGTGAAGAGGTTAATTCGTATATAAATATCTATGTTTTTACTTGTTATATCAACTATTGATTTGTTATTTTAGTAAAAAATATAACAAAAACAAGAATGTCATCTGATAAAGATAAAAAAAGTTCTCCATCTGAACAACTTAAGAAAACAGTCGATCTTTGGTTAAAATGGGATCAATGTGAAATAACAAAAGCAGAAATTGAAAAATTAAAAACTGATAATAAATGGGATGATTTAGAAGCTCGTTTATCTCATCGAATTCAATTTGGTACAGCTGGTCTTCGTGCTAAAATGGGTAGTGGATTTGCTTTAATGAATGAATTAACTGTTATTCAAGCAACACAAGGTCTTATTCGTCATATTCAAGAAACATTTAAAGAGAAAAAAGATTCTCTTTCTGTTACGATTGGTTTTGATGCTCGTCATCAATCAAAAGATTTTGCTCGTTTAGCTGCAGCATTATTTGCTCATGAAGGTATTCATGTTTATTTATTTGATTCAATAACAGTTCCAACACCATTCATTCCATTTACTGTTCAAAAATTAAAATGTCAAGCTGGTATTATGGTAACAGCAAGTCATAATCCAAAAGATGATAATGGTTATAAAGTTTATTGGGAAAATGGGGCACAAATTATTTCACCATTAGATGCAAATATTGCTGATTCAATTGAAGCCAATTTAGAACCATGGAAAGGAAAAGCATGGAATTTAGATATTTTAAAAGATAAAAATTCCAAATTAATATCTGATCCAATTGAAAAAGTTAGAGAAAACTCTTTTATTTTTCGAAATAAAAATTTCGTTTTTTCTTATATTTTAGATTCGTGATTTATATATATCAAATTTAGCAAAATTATGTAATTTTCCTGAAATCAATGCGTCAACTCCATTAAAATTTGTTTATACACCTGTTCATGGTGTTGGTCAACCTTATGCTGAACTTGCATTTGCTGCATTTAAATTTCAACCATTTATTTCTGTTGATAAACAAAAAAATCCAGATCCTGATTTTTCAACAGTTAAATATCCAAATCCTGAAGAAGGAAAAGAAACACTTGAATGTGCTATTGAAACAGCTAATAAAAATAATGCAGATTTTATCGTTGCAACTGATCCAGATGCTGATCGATTTGCATTAGCTGAAAGAGATACATCAGGTTCATCGGAAACTGGTTGGAGAATTTTAACAGGAAATCAATTAGGAGCTTTACTTGGTTTGTTTACTTTTTTAAAATTTATTTTCTAATAAAAAAATAAAAAATACTCTAGGTTGGTGGCGTTGGTTTACTTGGCGTAATCGAAATCCAACAGTTAATGTTAAAGATGTTTATATGCTTTATTCAACTGTTTCATCTCATATTCTTAAATCAATTGGTGAAGTTGAAGGTTTTAATACAATTGATACATTAACAGGTTTTAAATGGCTTGGTAATCGATCACATGAATTACTTAATGACAAAAAACATGTTATTTTTGGTTTTGAAGAAGCTATGTAAGTTAGAAAATTTAAGTTTTGAAAATGAATTAAATATTTGTTTTAGAGGATTTATGTGTGATCCAGAAAATGTATTAGATAAAGATGGAATATCAGCAATGGCTGTTGGATCAGAAATGTGTGCTTATTTAAAATCAATTGGTCGAACATTATATGAACAATTAGATCAAATCTCTTTACTTTATGGTTTTCATATTAATAATAATTCTTATGTTATTTGTAATAAAACTGATGTTATGCTTAAAATGTTTAATCGTTTAAGACATTTTGATCAAAGAGAAGATCAAAAAAAAGAAGTAGAATATTTTTATTTCATTTTAGAAAAT